TGTTTCAGCAGCATTATTGAGAACAATTTCCTGATCCTAATATTTTGTGCTGATGACATAAATGGTTTGGATCTGTTTTTCAAGAAAGATGAAAATGCTGTATTTCTACATTAATGGACATAATTGTAGGATTTCTAAAAAGTGTTAATTGCTACTTTTTTCTTTGCATACTATGGTTGAAATACATGCATGTATATGTTTTATATATTCATCTTCATCTTCTGTCAGCACCTGTGGGTATTCATTCATTTTAGTGTACCTAAATTTTTTTCTCAGTTTATTATCTAGTTTCTTTATTATGCCATGATTTTATTTGATTATTAATAATTAACTATTCCTGACCATCTTACTAAAGATCATGCACACTTTAAATTGCACAGCCTCAGAAGCTGATTTATCATTTCTCTGAATAAATTTATTAATGGATCTAATTGGATTCTTATATTTCTTTAACTCAATAAAGTCATGGATGTTGTCTTGCAGTTTCAGAAGGAATTTCTAGTAAGAGTGTTGCAACATGAACACATAGCATGAAACTTGCCATAATACATCCATATATCAGAGTGTAAACTCCATTCTTAGGCTGATATCATAATAAAAGGTTCTGGGAGAATTGCATACTACAAAATTCTGGTGAAAAATTCTGAAGAGAAGAGACCATGTGGGATAATATTAACATGGATTGTAAATAAAAAGGATGTGTGTGTTGACAGGATTCATGACACAGAGTATGGTCTGGTTGTGGACGCTTGTTCATGTGACACGAATCCTCGGGTACCGTAAAAGGCTTGAAATTTCTTAACCGTTTGCACTACAGTTTCAGAAGAAGAACTGTACATCATGGAGTTAGTTGTGTGTTTTTCTGTGCTGTATCAACTGCTGTTATATGTTGGCTGTTACGCTGTACCAGATGTGTCTTTTGGTGAATTTTTCTTGGTATGTTCCTGACATCATACGGATGCTCGATGAATTCGTGATGGGATAGGACCCTGCATACTAACCCTTCTTGAAGTAATGGGCAAACTGTTTGCGCAGTCATTTGTTTGAAGTTGAGAGTGTAAGCTGTAGCGGGTGTTTGGACGAATCGGGTAGAACACCAAATAAGAATTATTATTATTATTCATTATAACATTTATAGGCGTATTTGCATAAATATAACTGAAGCGTGTGTGAGTAATTTTTAAAACATGCTTGTATGTGTAAGTGACAGAATTTCATTTCTGTATATTCAGTAGGCCTTTATCAGTTCTTTCATCATTCCTCTTTATTCTGTAAGCGACATACCCAGTCTCTTTACAATGCTGTTAGTGAATAATACATGGAATTCTTTTGTAAAGTTTTGTCAGTTTCCTTCTCTGTGTTTGAATTAGTGGTCACTGGTAATTAAAACAAATAAAATTTAGACTGCATCATCGATGGGTAGTTAATGTCTAGGTTCGACCTCAATAGCTAACAATTACTCGATGGCAGTGTGGTGTCAGAGTTATTAATGAAACGAACAAATACAGTAATCGAATTAGACTATTTACAAACCCTTTTAATATAATATTTGTGCTTAGCCGTGATTGAAACAAATCGAATTTGGCAATCCTTTGGAATGTATTACAGTGTAGTATGATGCATATTGGCAGACTTTCATAGGAACTGACTGCCTCCGTCATCACGATCATCATTGTTGATGGAGGCATTAAGCTCATCTGAAACGTCTGTCAGTATCTACCAGACTGCTGGGTGCTGCATCCCAGAAGAAATTTTCATACTCGTCCCATAAAGACCTCAGATTTCATCGGCTTGTTTTCGTCGTGACTAGACTGTTACAATAACGTGCAAGACGGAGTTTTTATTCCACCTGGTGGAACGAAGCTGACACGCCCGACACTTGCTAGGCCGGTTTCAGAAGTTGTTCTTTTTGTGCCTTGTATTGAGTTACTGCTCCTTGTTACTGTGACATTGCAATTTTGCATCTTACACGGACAACCACATCGTGACATACATTTTTAAGGTCACATGGTGTTCTATTTTGGGGATGGGGTGGGGAATGTACAGTATTGTTCTCAGACCTCCTTCATGACAAGGTCATCCCGAGTCAGTTTTAATTTTGATCGCTGTTTGTTTATTTTGGTCTTCTATACATAATAATCCATCTCCTCTTCCCTTCAGGTTTTCCGTATAATATTCTGGTTACATTTCTCATCTTCCCATGCGTGCTGTATGGCTCCCTCGTGTAATTCGCCTTGATTTGATCATCCTAATAATACCTGGTGACGAATTGAAATTTTGAAGTTCCCTCCATTCTTCTCGTACTTTCTCTCGCTTAGGCTCAAAACTTCTCTTCAACACTTCGTTCTCAGAAAGTTCCCTCCTTTGGGGAAGAGAACAGATTTGACGCTTAATTAATATACCATATTTAATATGTAATATGTAACAACAACCAGAGAAAGAGAGAAATGCTCTCATATATAGGACACTGGATTCTTGGTGTAAGTAGACTTGGCTTCAAAGATTGATGGCTGCCTTTAGAGTTCTGAATAGACACACGGTGTAACATCACAGAAGACAGCCATCTTTTTTACATGCTTACCACGCGGAATAAGTGACTGCCAGGTCTTTTTAACGCTGCACCGAAGCTGTAACAGGCTTCCTTGAAATGCGGAAGCAAGAAGTGTTAACACACGAAATTTCTTTTGTGGTTTTCCTCGGCTCGTGGACGATGCGTTGAATTTGGTTATGGCAGTTTCCATCCTAGTTCTAACATTTCTCTGTAATATCTAATATTCAGGAGCATTTATGAAGAGTGTGAAAACAAATACGAAATTAAATAAAACTTTCATGGATCTGGCGTTTGCTGTGACGTCTGACCACAATGCCCATAACAAGATTCTGGTACGGAAACGCCAACAAGAATGCGATATTATCTCGGTCGAAATGTGAAAGTGGTACTGAATGGCTGGTAGCCAGGTTGCAGGCGCAGTCCAGGTGGGTCTGCGGTAATGGAGGAACGCAGACAGTCTGCCAGAGTCTGCCGTCCGGAGAAGTTCGTTCGCGGCTAGTCCGTGTTTAGTGAAGTGAGTGTGCTCAC